CATTATACCGACTTCAGGCATTCTTGGGGCACCACGTCTAAGATGCGGGGGAGATGTGGGGGAGATGCGGGGGAGATGTGGGGGAGATGCGTGGGAGATGTGTGGGAGATGCGTGGGAGATGTGTGGGAGATATGGGGGAGATGCGGGGGGAGATGCGGGGGAGATGTGTGGGAGATGCGGGCGAGATGTGGGGGAGATGTGGGGGAGATGCGGGGGAGATGCGGGGGAGATGTGGGGGAGGTGTGGGGGAGATGTGGGGGAGATGCGGGGGAGGTGTGGGGGAGATGTGGGGGAGATGCGGGGGAGATGCGTGGGAGATGCGGGGGAGATGTGGGGGAGGTGCGGGGGAGATGATGTGGGGGGAGAGGTGGGGGAGAGGTGGGGGGGCAAGCCGCCGCCGCCCGCACCGCGTTCAACGCGCGCGCGACTCTACACGCGCGCACAAACGCGGCCGCCAGCCGCCGCTGCTCGGCCACACCGCCGCCGCCGCCCTCTCCCTCTCCGCCCTCGCCACCCTCGCCGCCCTCGCCGCCGCCGCCGCTGGGCGCGGCTCCGGCGTGGCGGATGTATGGCTTGCCGTAGGCGGCGGCGCGGAGGAGAGAGAGCTGCCGCCCTGCGCTCATCTCGTGCTCCGCCGCCTGTGCGGAGATGTGGGGGAGATTGCGGGGAGATGTGGGGAGATCTGATGCACGCGACGACGCCCTCCCGGGCAGACTCCTCTCGGGCAATCTCGAGCAATCTCGGGCAATCTCGGGTCACCTCGGGCAGTCTCGGGTAGATCTCGGGCAATCTCCGGGTAAATCTCGGGCAATCTCCGGGTAAATCTCGGGCAATCTCCGGGTAAATCTCGGGTCAACCTCCGGCAATCTCGGGCGATCTCGCCTCGATGCATGCGGCGACGCCCTCGCGCAGCTCGGTCTGCGACAGGCCGCGCAGCAGCTCTGCGGCGACGGCGGACCGAGCCTCGAACGCCGCCGACGCGGCGAGGAGGCGCGCTCCTAGAAAAAGAAAACAGATAGGTGTGCGATTTCTCTTTTAGGCGCGCGGACGCGGCGAGGAGGCGCGCGCCTAGAAAAAGAAAACAGACGGCGGTGCGATTTCTTTTTTAGGCGCGCGGACGCGGCGAGGAGGCGCGCGCCGGCGGAAGCGGCGGTGGCGGCGGGAGTGAGGACGGCGACGGCGACCGGCGAGACGCGCAGCAGCAGCTCCGTGGCGCTGCTGGTGACGACCCTCGCGCAGTCCTGCTCCGGGAAGAGGAGCGGGTATGGCTCGCCATATCTCGCCACATCTCGCCACATCTCGCCATATCTCGCCATATCTCGCGCAGTCGCCGGGAAGATGAGCGGGGGAGATACGGGGAGATACGGGGAGATACGGGGAGATACGGGGAGATTGTGCCTGCTCCGGGAAGAGGAGCGGCGGCTCGGCGTACTCGTACTGGATGCAGTCTCCATACGGCCCAACCATCACCACCCGGCCGCCCCACCTACCACCACACTCAAGACACTCCGCCAGTCGAGTCGGCGATTGAGGAACGATTCGAGCCGTCACCGCCGCCCCCCCACCTAGCAGGAAGTCGTGACGAACCCATCGACGCTTCATGGAGTTGAGCTCGCAACCACCACAGACCGGCCGCCCGACCGCAGCAGCAGCGCGTCGCTGCCGCACCAGACGACACCCTACAAACGAACAACGGAGAAGGCCGCGTCACCGCGTCGCCTTCGCCCGAGCCGCTGCCGCACCAGGCGCCCCGCCGTCGGGGGGCGCGGCGCGTGCGTCTGGAACTCGGACAAGTTTCGGGCGAGGTCGGAGGAGAAGACGTGGAGGGCCTGTTCACAGCTGGTGCTGTGAAGAGACGCTGTTCACAGCACCTCGAGGTCGGAGGAGAAGACGTGGAGGGCCTGTTCACAGCTGCAGGTGTGAAGAGACGCTGTTCACAGCACCTCGAGGTCGGAGGAGAAGACGTGGAGGGCGTTGGTGGAAGAGCTGTAGGCGGCGACGAGCCTAATCACCGCGTCCTCCGTGTGGGCGCCGCGTTTTCTTTTCTCGCACGGATTCCTCGGCTCGCGGCGGCGAGCTTGCGCGACGGCGACGGGACGAGGTGGCAGAAGGGGCCCGACGTGAGGAGCTGGTCTTGGACCTATTCGGCGTCGATGAGTGCATGAAATCACTGCTTCATCTGCGGCCGTGGGGAGCCGGTCCTGCACCTGTTCGTTGTCAATGATGAATTCGCTAACTCACTGCTCTGTGGCCGAGAGGAGCCGGTCCTCCTGCACCTCCCGCTCGTCCAGCAGGAGGATGGTGCGAGTACTCGTTGCGACGAGGGCCCGCGGGACGCCGCCCGGCGCCTACCAGCCACGCACCGACTCCACCCCATCTCTTCACAGGGCGGATGAGTCCATAGGAGCGACCGCCCGGCGCGCCTAGGAAGGAGATGAGTTCGACCCGCTCCATCGAACCATCGGCGGATGAACCCCCTAGGGGCCGCCCAGCCGGCGCCGTGGGCTCGACGGCGGTCACCGCCGTCGGAGGCGCCTGCCAGGGAAGACGGTTCCGAGAAGGTTCGCGATCTGTGCTGTGCATTGTGCTGTGCATTGTGCTGTGCTGTGCATTGTGCTGTGAAGTGCAGTGCAGTGCAGTGCGGTGCTGTGCTGTGCTGTGCTGTGCTGTGCTGTTGCTGTGGGGGGAGGGTAGTCGCTGCCTCGGCTCGGGTCGTCGCGAGACTGCGAGAGTGCCGTGCTATGCTACGCCCTTCCGCCGCAGGGTGCTGCGCTTCTACTCCCTGCACCGCAAGCCGCGGGTCGGCGAGCGGCACGAGCCTCCGCTCGGCCTCGCTGCCCAACGCGTGCAGCGCGTAGCAGCGGCAGTCCTTGCCGAGGAGCAAGAGGGCGTCGGGGAGGACCTCGGCGCTGAGCAGGCCGTGCGCCTCGCACGCCGCGCCCAGCCCAAACTCGGCCAGCCGCGCGCCGTGCATCGACCAGACGAGCGCGTGCCCAGACTCGAGGACGGCAACGAGCTCATGCCTCCCGCTCCAGCCGAGCCCGACGCACCGGCCATGCAGCCACGGCCAGCCGCGGATCATCTCGCCCGAGGCACTGTAGACGCGGAGCTGCGGCGCGGCGACGCCGCTGTCGGGATCGCCAGCGCCGGCGCCGAGCAGTGCGAGTGGACCACCGTTCGGCGCCGCTGCGGAGAGGAGGCTGCTGAGGCCTCCGTCGGGGATGCCGAGGGCGTCGAGATCCCAACGCATCTGGTAGGCGGCATGGCGCTCGTAGCAGCGCTCGCCGTCGCTGTGCTTGAGCCTGTCGGCGAACATCGCTCGTCCACACGGAAAAAATGGCACTTTTCGGTGCTGGTAGCCAGACCGTCTTGAGTAACCGCATAAGCCGCCAGTGGCATTTCTTTCCACCCAAGAAGCCCGTTTGGGCGGGGCGACCGAATATTCATTCTAGCCGCAATGCCTATTAAAAATAATCGGGCAACTCCGCCTCTACGTCAGGGTCCAGCGGCTCATCGCAACGCGCGCTGTCGACATCGCTGGCTGCGTCATCGGAGCTCTCGTAGTCAAGGTCTTGCACTCTCACAGTGAGCCCTAAGCTCACCATGAAGTCCGCGAGCCGGCCCGTTTGTGCCGTTTGCCCCTCGAGCGGGAGCACCCACAAGTGGGGGAGTGTGGGGTCACTGTACTTGATCGAGGTGTAGTGAAGTGCAGGGAAGCGTCGGAGTAGCTGCGAAAAAAAGAGAGGGAGAAGGTAGTGCGGGACGCGGCCCGAGGGCGACTCTCGCGAAGGCACGGCTGGCACCCGTGGCGCGGGGCGGACAAGACCGGGATCGCTCTACCGGCAAACCTCTCGCTGACATGCGCGCCCCGTCGAGCTGACGGCGGGCGCGCTGAGGTCGCACGCCAAGCCCAGTTATATGCCAATGGCATGCGATCAAGAATCGGCTCACGCGCCTCTACTCGCATACGCTCACCCATAGAATTGTCACCGCCAGTGAGTGCGAGATAGGGCTAGCGGCTGGCGGCTAGCCCCTGAGGAGAGTGACCAGAGACACCTCACATGACCCCACACACGGTCTAGTCCGGCCTCGCGGTCGGCGGAGATTGCTAGAGGACGAGCAAGCCTGCTCTAGCCTCACGCGTTCTCCCCTGTCGTCTGTTGTGTTGTTGTGCCCTTGTTTGTTCTCTTGGCACCTTGGAGTGCTGGGGGGGGCGACAGGGAGGATGTGGCCTTGAGTTATGTGTACGCCAACTCAGGGTGTGTGGCAGCCAGCTGGCTGTGTGTCTTGTGAGCGTGTTTGTGTCTGTGTGTCGTTCGTGCGTGTCGTCATCATCTGTCCAGCGTCTACCCATACCGCGTTGGTGTCCAGTCCGAGCCTGACTGTTGTTCACCTTTCTACATACATACATCGCCCATGGCCGTCTCGACCATGGCTGATGAACTCAATTGACGGCCAAGAGCCAATAAATGATCAACTCATATAATGATATATTCATTAACTCCCTGCCGTTTTCTATACATTTTGTTGTAAAACTCTATACATTTAGCTGCGCAAATACAGATCCCGTTTTAGTTCACAGTGGGGATGAGAGAGAGTCGTCTCTAATAGAGGGAGCGGACCGTGAGGAAATCGGAGGACGCGACCCACCTCGCCACAGACGGTCCCGCGCCTCGCCGCTATGACGGGGACACACCCCGCACCATCCGCGTGTCCCCGTCTTTGTCCGGAGTGAAAAGTCCAACGCGCTCGTCGGTGACGGTGTCCTCCAACCTGCGCCGCGCTCGGCGAACCTCGACAGCGCCATCGGTGGCATGCAGCTCTTTGCGCCTGAAGCCTTGAGAGCAGCTTCTCTGCTGCTCACACGCTCTTCACAGTTGGCACAGCCTACTGTGCGGCTGCCACAGCTGTGACAGCGATGGGCTCGCCCTCACTGGCCCTCAGTCACTTGTGCTGCGGCTTGTGTGAGCGACACTGCTCGGCGACTGCCGGCACACTGTGAGACCATGGGTGGGAGGTAAAACCACGCTACCAGCGCTTGGTCACATCAGCCCCGAGGTCAGATCCTTCTCCTCTGTTGATGGTAACACTTGTCTACTCGCTGGAGCCGAGCAGGAGGGCCCGGCGCACAACCCCTGGTCAACTCACGGTCCACACCCCGTATGTTAGCTCGTCGTTACGAGGAAGCCTCAGCATGTTAGTTGTTACATAAAACGCCCTATGCCAACACAGCGCACTCCTGGAAGTGGGGAGCACGTCCAACCCTTGCCGCTTGAGCCGAACTGCAAAGTTGCTCGTCACCTCTTACTACACCTGCTCCACCTCTGGCAGCTGCTCCAGCTGCGAATCCTCCTCGGTAACGACTGGGTCGGACGTCGTCGAGCCGCGAGGCACGGTAGTGAAGCGCCCGATATTCGAAAGCGAGTCGCGGATGCTCGAGCGAGCGCTCACCGGGGTTGCGCCCAGAGCCTTGGCCAGCAGCACGAGCGACACCTGTGAGACCGGGGGTGCAAGATCAGTCGCTTCAGAGGCGGGCGCTGTGGCAAAGGTGCCGCCGGGGGAGCGCACCTCATGGTGCAGGCCGGGGAAGCAGGCAATGGCGAGGGCGTTGTAGAGCCCGGCGTTGATGAGCTCCTGCGGCGGCGGGGAAGGGGGGCATGGAGCGGGCGGGACATAAAGATCGACCGCTGATCGGCAGCGTTCCTGCGGCGTGGTCTCAAAAAACTTGGCGAACTCACAGCCGCCGCGGTCGAGGTCGTTCTCGTGCGCCATGACGATCTTCAGCCTATCCTGGCGCGCCTGCTTGACCTGCTCGGCCAGCCGCTCGTCGGACCAGGTGTCGGCGTTCAGATAGAGAAGCATGTGCGTGGCGTCGCCCGCCTCCTCGGCGGTGGAGACGGTGAGGCCGGAGAAATTGGTGGCGAGCTCGCTGGCCAGCTCGTCTGCGCCCTCATCGAACGGCGAGGCCCAGAGCACGACGGACTTGGAGAAGGAGATCGGCTGGCCCTGGACCTCGCCCGGGATGAAGAGCGGGAGGGAGGCCAGGTTCAGGTAGTGTGGCGAGCAGAGGAGGAGCGCCTGAGGGTAGGTGCGAGGGGGCGGCGGTCAAGGTCGAGGCGACGGCAGAACAGCTGCAGGGAGTCGTCCGTGGCGGCACCTCGGAGATGATCTTAAGCGAGACACGCTGATACTCGTCGATGCGGTGCCACGTCGTCTGCGCCCACCCACTGTCAAAGATCTCCGGCTGGAGGACCTCCGGGCACTGTGCTCGCAACTCCTGCAGTCGTGCAGCGACGGTGTGCGTGAGTGAGTGCTGGCGTGCGGCGGCGGCGGCGACACCGCCCCTCAGAGCCGTGTGTGGCGAGAGCAATCCCCGCAGGGTCAGAGCTGGGGGTGGGCGGGGAGCGCCTGCAGCGTCCCGCCGCCCTTGGCCGGGTCCGCCTCTTGCACGAGGACGAGCGGCTTGCTCTTCTCGAGCGACGTCTGAATCTCGCGCAGGCAGTTCTGCAGGCAAGGAGCGCACGAGTAGTCGTGGGCGACACAGCGAGGCACTCTCGGAAAGGGAGGGGCTGGGGGAGTGCCTTCGAGCGGAAGTAGCCCTTCGACAGGAAGAAGAGCATGACCTGCGTGCGGTCAACGTAATCCTCCAGCGACCCGATGTCCTTCAAATCGTCCACATCGAGGAAGATCTTGATGCCGGGGATCAAGAGCTTAAGCTCATTCTTGATGACCGCGACGGCGTCTTGGCCGGTGGACCTATTCGGGGAGTGGCGGGTCGTTCTGGCGGGTTCCTACGCCGCCTCTCCCTCTGACCACAGGACTGACCAGATGTGCGAGAGGAAGAGGTGCCACGTGAGGCCGTCCACCAGAGCCAGCTCGGGGGGCTGCTTGGTTGAGACGAGGCGAATCGTGGGGACCTTGGCAAGGCGGCGGATGGCGATGATGGTACCCACGAGGAAGATCAGGAGCGCAGCCGCAGCAAGGACGAGCATCCAGTTCACCAGTCCATTCTCAGACCTGAAGCCTAGGACGGCGGAGGCCGACTGCCCCGGCTCGTCGCCGGGGAATCGCAACTCGATGTTGAGGAAGATGGTGGTCCAGCTGGCACCGAGGAAGAGGAGGAGGAGGACGAGGCTGGTGGCCTGCAGTGCGAGCCGCGTCCGTTGGGCTCAGAGTGACTGCAGTGGGAAGGGCGTGTGTGGGGTGGGTGATGGACTGGCCACAGCGATCCAAGCGTGTGCTGAGAGCTGCAGCACAAGCAAGCGCAAAGGGCGTGTGGGATTGGGCGAAGGGCGCACCACGGCGAGGATGTTGTCCTCGAACCGCTTGTAGGGCTGGACCAGGGCGATCGCGACGGCGTAGCACGAACACACGAGCACCGCCACGACGAGACGAACAAAGGAGTCCTCCTCCTCGGCAACCAGCAGCACGAAGCCCGTCAGAAAGAGCTTGCGGGCCAGATCGGCCGCCTCCCACCAGTACCAGTTCATTTTGTACTCCCGGTGAAGGAAGGCGGTGGCCTTCGTCAGCGCGTTCGGCGACTTGGCCTGCAGCGGCTTGTAGCAAGCGAGAAGAAGGGCCGAGTAGAGGACTAGCGAGCCGACCGGCCAGATGACGACGAAGCCAGTGGCGAGCCTCGTGATGGAGTCGTGCTCGTCGGTGCCGCACTCGACGCTCGCGTCCTGCCGCATGTACTCGACCAGAGCGAGCGTCTCGCCCGGCGCAGAGGTGGTGTAGCCCTGCGCACGCACATCGAAGCAAGGGGTTTTGGGTGGGGGGTGTGGGGGGGGGGCTTGTTTGTTTGTGGCTAGCACCTGGCACGACCACGCGCGCAAGATCGTGGCGCTCACAGACGGAACGAAGAGAAAGATGAGCACGAGACCCGCCGGCGTGAGGTCGAGGAGGCCGAGCGCCACCTCTGCAGGCCATGAAAAGACCGCCGCATCGTCAGTTTCGGCCAGCGCCGTCGGTGGCTCCGCAGCTGAAGACGATGGTGGCTCCTGCAGCTGTGCTTCGCCACCGAGAACGTTGCTTGTCGCGCCGTCGACCTCGGAGCCGCTGTCGCAGCCAGCCCCTCGCCGAGCACGCCACCAGCGAGCACAGAGCCGCAAGACAATGCCAGCAAAGAGGAGCAGGGCGATGACGCCGATGGGAGAGATCGCGACGGCGACGAGCCGGGACTTGTGCGGCAGGCACTGCACCGGCAGCACGATGCCCGACCAGTCGATGAAGACGGCTTCGGCCAGCGCCTCCGTCCAGCCCGTGTACCGTTCCGGCAGCCGCGCCGAGTAGGTGGTGGAGAGGACGAGGCAGACCTGGTAGAAGCCAAACAAGATCTTGAACTTGGGGATGAGGCCGATTTTGTAAATCGCGTCGCCGGTGCGGTCGGCGATGCGCAAGGGAAGTCCGATGAAGCGCTCCTTCCTCCACTCGGTTTGCCCGCGCTGAACTGAGTACGCCAACGCCACGAGGCCAAACGCGACGCAGAGGCCGAGGGCGGTGCCCGCCATGCGCCCCGCCGCCGTGCCGACAGCGACGCACTCGTTGCAGGCGGCGCCGTCGGCGTCCAGGTAGTGGTTCGGCTCGCGGCAGAGCTGGCACTCGGGGCCGGCGAAGGCGTCTGCGCAGTAGTCCAAGCCGGCCTCCTGCACCCTCCGACCGCTAGCCTCTCCCGGATCAACATTGCCGACACACCGCGCCTGGCCCGCCTGGCCATCCCCTCCAAAGGCGCGGCACGCCGTCAGCACGGCGGAGGAGGGGCTGGCGCGCCAGTAGCCGGCTGGGACGCCGAGGGTCGCGAGCGAGGTGTCGTCCGAGCACTCTGCGTTTGGCGGGCATGGCTTGCAGTAGTCGGTCGGGGAGGAGAAAATGTCGGCCGGGTCGGCGCTCTGGAGCAGGTAGAAGCCCTTCTGGCAGACGGAGCAGATGACGGCGCCGCGCTCACTACTGAGGGGGTAGGGGCACGGGACGCACTGGCCCTGGCCGGAGTTGGCGGCGTAAGTGCCTGCAGCGCACTCGCTGCACGACTCGCTGCCGGCGCTGGAAGATGTGCCAGGCTCACACCGCTCGCACTTGGCGAGTCCAGGCGTGGCGGCGACGGAGCCCGGCGAGCACTCCGCCGGCGGCGCAGCCCCGCCGCCGCATGACGAGCCCGCCGGGCAGTCGAAGCAGTCGGGCAAGCCGTCGCCGTCCGTGGAATTGGCGTATGTACCCGGCTCGCACGCCGCGGGCAGTTCGAGCGACGCGCCGACCGGGCAGAAGCTGCCAAGCCCGCACCGGACGCAGCCGGCAGCACCGATGGCGTTCTGGTAGGATCCCGCCTTGCACGGCTCGCACTCGGCGTTGCGCGAGCCGGATGCGAATGTGCCGGCGCGGCAAGCCATGGGAGTCGCGCTGCCAGTGGTGCAAGCGTGGCCCAAAGGGCAGTCCATGCAGCCGCCCGCCGAGTCAAGATTCGTCTTGTTCGAGTAGCTGCCAGCCTCGCACGGCAGCGCCGCCGCCGCGCCCGGCTCGCAGAAGCTGCCTTGCTTGCACGGCTTGCACTCCGTCTTGCCGCCCATGTCCTGGTACGTGCCGGCGGAACAAGCCGTGCACTCGCCCTGCCTGGTCTCGTTCGTGTACGACCCCTTGGCGCACGCCGTCTGCTCGGTGGAGCCGGTGGTGGCGAAGTAGCCCGGCGAGGCGTCGGTGCACTCGCTCGCGGCGGAGAGGTTGGTGGCGGTCGAGTAGCTGCCAGCCTCGCACGGCAGCGGCGCCGACGCGCCCGGCTCGCAGTAGCTGCCTTTCTCACACGCGCGGCAGCCTGCAGCGCCCGTGTCGTGCTGGTAGGTCCCGCCCTCGCACGGCTCGCACTCGGAGAGGCCGCCCGTGACAGCGAAGCTACCCTTTGCGCAAGGCGTCTGCTGCGTCGAGCCCGTGGTGGCGAAGTGGCCCGGCGAGGCGTCGGTGCACTCGCTCGCGTCGGAGAGGTTGGTGGCGCGCGAGTAGCTGCCAGCCTCGCACGGCAGCGCCGCCGCCGCGCCAACAGCGCAGTAGCCGCCCGCCTCGCACGGCTTGCACGCCGTCTGCGCCTCCTCGTCCTGGTACGTGCCGCCGGAACAGGGCGTGCACTCGCCCTGCCTGGTCTCGTTCGTGTACGACCCCTTGGCGCACGCCGTCTGCTGCGTCGAGCCCGTGGTGGCAAAGTGGCCCGGCGAGGCGTCGGTGCACTCGCTCGCGTCGGAGAGGTTGGTGGCGCGCGAGTAGCTGCCAGCCTCGCACGGCAGCGCCGCCGCCGCGCCAACAGCGCAGTAGCCGCCCGCCTCGCACGGCTTGCACGCCGTCTGCGCCTCCTCGTCCTGGTACGTGCCGCCGGAACAGGGCGTGCACTCGCCCTGCCTGGTCTCGTTCGTGTACGACCCCTTGGCGCACGCCGTCTGCTGCGTCGAGCCCGTGGTGGCGAAGTGGCCCGGCGAGGCGTCGGTGCACTCGCTCGCGTCGGAGAGGTTGGTGGCGCGCGAGTAGCTGCCAGCCTCGCACGGCAGCGCCGCCGCCGCGCCAACAGCGCAGTAGCCGCCCGCCTCGCACGGCTTGCACGCCGTCTGCGCCTCCTCGTCCTGGTACGTGCCGCCGGAACAGGGCGTGCACTCGCCCTGCCTGGTCTCGTTCGTGTACGACCCCTTGGCGCACGCCGTCTGCTGCGTCGAGCCCGTGGTGGCGAAGTGGCCCGGCGAGGCGTCGGTGCACTCGCTCGCGTCGGAGAGGTTGGTGGCGCGCGAGTAGCTGCCAGCCTCGCACGGCAGCGCCGCCGCCGCGCCAACAGCGCAGTAGCCGCCCGCCTCGCACGGCTTGCACGCCGTCTGCGCCTCCTCGTCCTGGTACGTGCCGCCGGAACAGGGCGTACACTCGCCCTGCCTGGTCTCGTTCGTGTACGACCCCTTGGCGCACGCCGTCTGCTGCGTCGAGCCCGTGGTGGCGAAGTGGCCCGGCGAGGCGTCGGTGCACTCGTTCGCGTCGGTGAGATCCGTCTTGTCCGAGTAGGTACCCGCATCGCACGGCAGCGGCGCCGACGCGCCCTTGGCGCAGTAGCTTCCCTTCTCGCATTCGCGGCAGGACGTCGCGCCCGTATCGTTCTGATAACTGCCGGCAGGGCAGTCCGTGCACTCACTCAGCCCGGGCTCGCCGCCAAACGTCCCAGCACGGCAGCTCGCGCAGGTCTCGCTGCTGTTTGCGCCGGTGATCGGGCTAGAGGTTCCGGGGGGGCACTTCTGACAGGCGTCGGGTGAGCTGCTGCCCGTCTTCTCGTTGTACCTCCCCGCAGGGCAGGGTGTGAAGCCGCCACCGCAGTCATCTGTGACTTCGCAGTACCCACCCGCGGCACACAAGTCGCACGACGTCTGGCCGCGCTCCGCCTGGAACTCGCCAGCAGGGCACTGCATGCACGCAGCCTGGCCGGTGAGGTTCTGGTACTGCCCTGCGGCACAGTCGAGGGGCTGGATGGTGCCTGCATTCGGGCAGAAGCGTCCCGCGGGGCAGTCGGTGCAGCCGGTGGCGTTGAGCTGATCGGCGAACGTGCCGGGAGGACACTCGTCGCAGGGGTGGACCGCGCCGGCTGTGGACTGGCTCGTCCCCGGAGAGCAAGGGAGGCACGACTCGGCACTGGCTGCGCCAATCACGGGCATGTAGAAGCCCGGAGCACACGGGAGCGGTTCCGCGGTGCCCTTGGGACAAAAGTGGCCTCGCTTACACGCACCATCGCAGGAGGAGTTGGTGAGGCCGCTCCTGTTCCCATAGTAGCCAGCAGGGCAGAGGTTGCACTCGGGGACGCTGAAGTCGCCAAAAAAGGAGCCCTTGCGCGGCATCCAGCTGCCCAAGCGGCAGTCCCAGTCTATCGGCTTGTCGGTCTGTATCGTGGCACCGTCGTTGTCGTCGCCAGCGGTGTTGCCGGTGAAGGAGGCGGCGCTGATCGAGGGGTGGGTTTTGTCCAGGTACAGCACCGAGCCTGAGGTATCTGCGCTGTTGTCAATAAAGTCGACACCCGCGATGGAGAGGGATTCGCTGCTCGTCGCCCTGACGACGCCGCCGTACTGCGGTTGCGAGGAGAGAGCGGGGTGAGGCAGCCATGGCCCTCTTATCTCTCGCCCCGCTGCCGTGCGGCGCTGCTGGAGTGCGGCTGCTCTACGCGGCGCACCAAGCCAGCCGAGCAGCCCGACACGGTCGAGCCGATTATCGAGACCGTACCGCTGCTCCACGCGTAGACGACGCCGCCGTTCTGCGGTTGCGAGGAGAGAGCGGGGTGAGGCAGCCGTGGCCCTCTCGATCTCTCGCCTCGCTGCCGTGCGGCGCTGCTGGAGTGCGGCTAGCTCTACGCGGCGCACATCAGCAGAGCAGTCCGACACATCCGAGCCGATTATCGAGACCGCACCGCTGCGAGACGCGTAGACGACGCCGCCGTGCTGCGGTTGCGAGGAGAGAGCGGGGTGAGGCAAGCCGTGGCCCTCTCCATCTCCCGCCCCGCTGCCGTGCGGCGCTGCTGGAGTGCGGCAAGCTCTACGCGGCGCACCCCGTACGTGCCAGTAGCCCTGCAGTCCGTGATCGTCGAATCGATGATCTCGACTTCACCTGCGCCGTCCGCGTACACAACGCCGCCTCTGTCCGCCTTCCCGTTGACGAGGGTCAGCCCCCGCAGGGTGAGGCTGCAGCCGCCCCCGAGGTAAAAGAGCCTGGTCTGTTCCTGGCCGTCGAGCGTCGCGCCCTCGCCGCTGCTCGCGACGGCCACGTTGATGTCGGAGGAGCAGCTGATCTGGCTGCCCAGCTTGAAGTCTGCCCTGGGCGGCAGGTAGATTGCGACGTCGGCTTGCGAAGTAGCAGCCTCCGTGATCAGGGAGCGGAGCTCGGCCTCGCTCGCCGCGGCGACATCGAAGCCGGGGAACACCGGCGGCGTAGAGGGCGGAGAGGGCATGGACGGCGGCAGAGGCGGCAGCGACGGCGGCGACGGAGAGGACGGAGGGAGGGGGGCGAGGATGAACGTCTCGCTGCCGTAGGATCCGGAGCCGAGCGTGAACGTATAGCCCGCACCCTCCCACTCGTTGCCGTTCCAGCCGTCGCCCCACGAGTCGTACATGTCGAGCGTGCACTCGCCGGGCGGCGCGGACAGGGTGCCGGAGTAGGGGGCCCCTCCACTGCCGATCAACGCGCCGCTGCACGTCAGGTCCCACGACACCTCGGACGGGTAGCTGCCGCCACCCACAGTGACCTGGAAGTCGCCCGAGCCAGACGTGTGGTCTGATGGTGCACATGCCAGCGGGAGCAGCGCGGCGAGAATCAGCAGCCACGCGCCACGCCTCGCCCCCGTCCGGCACCGCACGAGGCGCCCCGAGCTGCTCCTCCGCACCGAGAGCAGCACGCCGCCGCACGCTCCGAGCAGCAAGAACAAGGCGGCCCAAAACTGACAGCGCTGCTGGGTGCGGACAGGCGCGGAAGAGGAGGGTCCGCTCATGAAGGGAAAGTGGAACGGGCAGGGCAGGTCGATGGAGAGCAGCTTGTCGACCGGCGGGTTCGCGGGCGGCTTGTCGGTCTTGGAGCGCTCGTCGGTGAGTGCGTGGTGAGGCTCCGCATGCCACGCAACGGGGGCGGCGCAGCGTGGCTGCCGGTCGGCGCACACACGTGAGACGGAGGAGATATCGGACTGGACCGAGTTCGAATCGGAGATCTGAGCGGCACGGACCTCTGCAGGCCATGCCGGCTCCGCGAGAAGAGGGCCGATGGCCCGGCCAAGCTGGAGGAAGAGATCCTTGGTTGTGGCTGGAGAAGCGGTCGCCAATCTGTTCACCCGCCACTCGCCGCCGGCGTGCATGCTAGAGACGGGCGCGCCGAGGCCAGTCTCAACCAGCTTCTCGGGCGTGTTCCCAGCGTCGGCGGACCGCATCTCCGTGCCGTTCACGGGCAGGACGGTTTCGCGAACGATGATCCCCGATCTGCTGCTGTAGACGGGACCGACGAGGTCGATCTCAGGCTCGCCCTTGCGCTCCATGCTGTTGCGCGAGGCCGGGACGGTCTCCAAGTCGGCCCCGCCCTACTCGCAAACACACAGGCAATCCGTCAGCGGGTGACCAGGGCTCGCACACAGAAACAGGCAGAGGGGCGCTCACCGGCTGCTTCTCGTAAAAGTCCTTGACGGACGCCGGCGGCTCGCCAATCAGGTGCAACGGCTCGCCCACCGCCTCTTTGATCGCTTCCATCAGTGCTCCCCACGAGCTCCCGTCCTCGTGCCCGCCCTGAACAGCGCGCGGGCTGTTAGTCACGAGCTGGCGAATACTAGCACGCTCGAGCGAGCGCGCACCGGGTGGTTGGCGGGCGCGCTGTCCGATGACACGATGGCTGCAAACGAGCTGGTGTCGTTGCCGCCAACCTCGCAGAAGCCGTTGGGCGATGCCGGCGTGAACGGCTTCGCGACGGTTGCGGGAGGCGATGTCGGCCACGGGGAGTCGTGCCGCTGCGAGGAGAGAAGCGCGGAAGTGGCAGAGTACGAGGAGTGCGCAAACGCGGCTCCGAGGCAGATCAGCGCGAGGATGCCAAAGAGGCGGAGCAAGTTGTAGGACTTTGGCCACGAGAACCGGCCGGCGGCAGAGCCCTCGGGCGTGGTAACCGTGGTCGTCTCGACGTCGACCGTCGCGCCCTGAACAAGAGGGCGCGAGACTGGCCGTGTGAGAGCGGCGAGCGAGGGAGGAGGCCGCATAAATGCAGGCGGCGCGCACCGAGTCTCTGGTCGGCGGCGTGGAGCCGCGGGGCACCTTGCCGGTGCCACCGAGGATGCCCTCGTTGCCGTCCGTTCCGAGCAGGGCCCCGAACCTGTTGCTGCCGCCGACCGGGGTGGTGTTCTTGGTGCGGACGATCGGGGCGGATGCGCCCTTGCGCCCCTTCTTGCGGCGCGGGTTCGACGGGGTTGTCCGGTCGGAGATACCCTGCGCGCGCGCAAGCGGTGGGTGCGTCAATAGTTGAGGCTCTGCGCGTGCACCGCAGCCGATCGGCGCCGTGGCGGGCTTCACCCCCGGAAATTCCTTGGCCGAGACGGTCCAGTCGGCGTCGCCCTGCGCAATGAAAGCGGGGTGGGGTCGAGGAGTGGGTCGGCAGACGCACGGCGCAGAATGCAAGGCGCTCGCCGCCGGGGCGGGCGTCTCCACCGGAAACTCCTCGCTCGACGGCAGCGGCGCGCCGCCGGTCGCCGCCGGCGTGAGAGCCGGGGCACTTTTGGTGACGCCGTTGGGGGCCGTCGGTGGGTCCATCGGAGTGGTGTTCTTGGAGCAGTCGACCAGGCTGGGCTCGCCCTTGCGCTCGATCTTGCGGAGCGGGGAGGGGGTCGTCCACTCGTCGATGCCCTGCGCGTGTGCGAGAGGCCACAGGGTCAATATGAGTACCGCACGTGGGACTCCCGTGTCCCGGCAATACCCATGTCCATGTGTGACGTGCTCGATCGAGAGGGCGAATGCAAATCGTGTGAGCGTACAGCGGTGCAGGAGACGCTGCAGGGGGCTGCAGGGCGCTCACCGCCGAAGCCGTCTCCTCCGGGAACGTCTTGGCCGACGCCGGTGTCTCGTCGTCCTGGTAGCAGGGGCTCTCCAAGGAGAAGGCTTGCGCGAGGACACCCAGCGCCTGCCAAACGCGCTCGACGAGGAGGGCCGCCGCCTTGGAGTTGTCGGACACGCACAGCATCTCCTGCAGATCTTGGATGTCGTTCTCCAAGAACATCCCGGTGATCTTGCCGGCCCACACGCTGTTGAGCGTCGACACGATGTAGTGGATGCGGTTGCCAATGCAAGAGGTGTCCATGCATTGCGACGACTCTGTCGCCACCCGAGCCAACGCCACCCACCCCGCCAGCAAGACCATGTCGATGGCCACGCCCAGCTGCGAGTTGAGCTTATCCGCGAGCTCGGCTGCCGCGCGCCAGTCATCGCCCGTGGGCCAGAGCAGGATCATCTCGTCCTCGAGCGATGCGGGCTCGCCGTTGGACGGGGTGACGTCCTCGAGCGATGCGGGCTCGCCGTTGGACTTGGTGGCGGACTCCTCGGCGGCGGCGGACTTGGTTGCGGAGGACTCCTCGGCGACGGCGGACTTGGTGGCGGACTCCTCGGCGGCGGCGGACTTGGTGGCGGAGGACTCCTCGGCGGCGGCGGACTTGGTGGCGGACTCCTCGGCGGCGGACTTGGTGGCGGACTCCTCGGCGGCAGCAGACTTGTTGTCGGACTCCTCGGCGGCGGCGGACTTGGTGGCGGAGAACTCCTCGGCTGCGGCAGACTTGGTGGCGGACTCCTCGGCGACGACGGCCTCCTCAGTGGCGGACTCCTCGGCGACGACGGCCTCCTCAGTGGCGGACTCCTCGGCGGCGGCCTCCTCGGTGGCTGCCTCCTCGGACTCCTCCTCGGTGGCGGACTTGGCGGCGGCCTCCTCGGTGGTCGCCTTCTTGGTGGCCGCCTCCTCGGCGGTCGCCTCCTCGGTGGCCGACTCGGCGTCCTCCTCGGCGGCGGCGGACTTGGCGGCGAGCTCCTCGGCGGCGGCGGACTTGATGCCGCACGCCTGGGTGAGGGGAGAACACGCAAGTGTGCGGAGACAGGGAGACCGTAGAGATGATGACAATCCTGGCGTGCGCACACTCACCTCGGCTCCGAGGTGCGACGGCGGCGACGACAAGTAGATCTCGTCCACATCGCCGTCGGGCTTGGCCGTGTCCACTGCGGGCTTGGGCGCGGCCTTGACGTCGTCCTTGACGCCGCACGCCTGTGGGCGAGAGCGGACGCAGCTGTTCGGAGACGGGGAGATTGCACGGAATGTGCTCTTGGCGTGCGCACACTCACCTCGGCTCCGAGGAGCGAAGGCGACAGCGACGTGATGCCGACAGGAGCCGTCGGCGCAGACTCGGACGGGACGTCATTGCCGTTGCCGATGACGTCATTGAGCGACGCGGGCTCGCTCTTGGACGAGATGCCGTCGTGCTTGCCTCCGGCAGAGTCGATGACGGACAAGGGCGGCGACGGAAGTGGCGGGCACGAGGTTTTGTCGACGGTGAACGTGAGGCGCCGCGAGGTCTCGGCGCCGGCGAACGATGCGCCTACCGACGCCGCAAACACGACGCCGACGTACTCGAGCGAAACGGGCTTGCCCTCGGACGGGATGACGTCCTCGAGCGAAGCGGGCTCGCCCGACGGGATGACGGACGGGATGACGTCTTCCTCGGGGTTGTCCTTGGTCACGACGCTGTTCTTGTCGCACCCCTGTGGGCGAGGGAGAATGGGGATCGTGTTGGGAGGAGAGTGGAGATCTGCGACAAGCGCACACGCACCGTCTTTTCTCCGAGGAGCGAAGACGACTTCGACTCGGACAAAACTACCTTAATGCGGCCGTCTCTGGCTGGCACGCTGCCGACCACTATCGTCCCGTTCTCTGACATGATGTTGGTCGAGTTGACTCGTACGTACCTAATACGAGGGGTGGATAGCGAGTGTCTGGTAAATGGGGACGAGCACTAGAGCGCCTCCACGAAGAGGTACGGAAGTGTCATACTGATCTCGGAAGTGATCTCGCGTCATCTCGGACAATCTCCCTCGGCTGACTGCACAGCACGTCGTGTTCGGGCAGTCCTCTGCTCTGAGAGCGTCTTTGAGGGCGCATGGAGAGGAAGGGGGCTGCCGCACCTACTCGCAGCGTATACGCAGCTTGAGGCCCAACACGCAAGTAGCCGCGGCGGATCCCTCGCCCCACCTTGTTTTGGATCTGCGAGCGCGCGGGCGCGACGGCGGGCGAGCGTGCGTCAGATTCGTAAAATGAGATGCGCATGGTGCGGGCTTGCTTCGGGCGGCGCGGGAGCGCAGTAGGCATGGCGGCGATGCGCGGCTGCGCGCTGGGCCGTCGCTCTGCCGCGATCCGGGTGCGCGCCAGATTCGTGTCGCTCGAGCCTCGGAGCGCGCCGCGCGCGGGGCATTCGCAGCAAGGGGGGCACAGGCACGAGCGCGCTGCAGCGCTTGGGCTGGGGGGTGAAGCGGCCGGGCACGCTCGCACAAAGGCCAACACGCGCCGCAACGCGCGGGGCGGGGGCTTAGGCGAGGGAGCGCAACCTGAGCTCCGTGCTAACGTGCAACAAAAAGGGCCTGCAACCAGGCGCCGTGGCAATCGTCGAGCTTCGGTGTGGAAAACATTCGCAGAGACCCCCGAAGAATTCTATAATCAAGCCCCTCGCATACTGAAGCTCGTCGGTGCAATCGGCGAGCGGGCGCAGGAAGACGCCTGCGTTGGTCGGCGCTCACCCCGGATCCTTATTTATTTATCTCTCTCCAGCCAGCCTGAGAGGATGGCCCGTCAACCGTCTACCGGCACCGTTAGACCGGGTACGGCATTCTGCCCTCCAAAAAAAGAAAAACGGCAAAGGAGACCAGCGGGGGGGCTCCTCGCCACACACACGGAGAAGATAGATGGGGAGGCGAAGAATTTTTTTCAGACGGGGTCGGGGAGCTAAGAAGCGCACCCAGAGGCCGGACGATTGGGATAGTTCTATAGACCATAACTTGGAGCACTTGGAGTGCAGTTAGCAAGTGCACGCCAAGGGACGGGAGCACCTGGAGCACTTGGAGTGCAGTTGGTAACCGCCCCGATTTTTTTTATTTTTCCGCCCGCTTTTTATTTTTGAGAGCGCCTTCCTTGTTAATAGTAATACAGACGGATGGTCACGTGCTGTTGCCACACGATACGCACACACCCACACCGCACCGCACTCCGCCCCCCCCCCCCCCCCCTTGACTAAGTTGGAAGGAGATGGGAAAATGGAAAAACCCCAGGAAAGGAGCGGAACAAACACCTATGGGAGGTTGAAGTTGTGCCCCCCCCTAGGAAGGAGAATATCTCGAGGAATAATCCCCGAGAATTGGATCAATGGTGGCAATTTCCCCCCGGCCGCCCCCCCCCCCAACCCCCCCCCCCCCACACACACACACGCCCTCCCCTCCCCTTCGAGCCTCGCCTACACAGACAAAAAGAAATCGACCGCGCGCGTGGTGGTATGCTATGAAGGCAGAGGCCATGCTCAAAGAGAGAGAGAGAGAGAGAGAGAGAGAGAGAGAGGGTCGAGCCAGGTCACTGCCACACCTACGGGCAGCACGCCTCGGCGTTAGCATCGCGACCAACGGCACACTCTCTCGTGTCCTCGGCGCTAGGACTGGAGCCGGGCAGCGATAGTTTTTTTTTTCCTTGGCGGCAACGCGATGGCGGCAAGGCCTCTCTGCGCGCCCACCCTCGTCACGCAGAAGACCAACGGGCGCCGGACCGCGGTGAGACCGCGCCGCCCTCCGCGCCCGCCCGCGCCCGTAGCGTGAACACATACGCGCGTCCCTCGCCGCACGGAAACTTGCGCGCCACCGCGCACACAGCCTCACATGCAGCGCAGACCGCATGCCCGCGCCCTGGGCCGCCGACGACCCGGTCGGGCGGGCTGAGCGGCCGCCGCACACCATCAGGCAGGCGCGCGACCACCCACAGCACGCCGCAGCCCACCGCGCAGCCCTGCCAGCCAAGCCTGCGCCTCCCAGCTGCACAAACAGGGCGCACAACAGAACACAGCAGACAGCACACACCGGCGGCGCGCGCGCAGCACACACAGACGCGCACGCGCATTCAACACGCACACGCGCACAGCACGCGCGCGTCACACGCCAGCGCAGCGCCACACACAGAGCACACTTCCCATCAGCAGCAGCAGCCTGCCACAATCCACAGCTCACACACGCGCGCACACACTCCCCCCTACCGGCGCACGCATTGGGCGTCGCCTCGACACCAGCGGTTGTCCGAGGATTCAGGAATCTAAGTCTGGTCTGCCAAGCAGGCAGCACAAGCAGCCACACAACCCAAAGCTCACTTGTATGGCTGCTTGTGCTGCCTGCTTGGCAGCACAAGCAGCCACACAACATCCCGCTTCATCTCGCCTCCTAGTTTCGCCTCATCTCGCCTCATCTCGCCTCACCTCGCTTCATCTCGCCTCACCTCGCCTCATCTCGCCTCACCTCGCCTCATCTCGCCTCACCTCGCCTCATCTCGCCTCACCTCGCCTCAACCCTCATCTCGCCTCACACCTCGCCTCATCTCGCCTCACCTCGCCTCATCTCGCCTCACCTCGCCTCATCTCGTCTCACCTCGCCTCATCTCGCCTCATCTCGCCTCATCTCGCCTCATCTCGCCCCCCTCACCTCGCCTCACCTCGCCTCATCTCGCCCCTCATCTCGCCGCGTTTTTTCTTTTCTAGACCACTCCGAGACCGACCCAAGACCGACCCGAGACCCGAGACCGACCCGAGATCGACCCGAAATCGACCCGAGATCGACCCGAGATCGACCCGAGATCGACCCGAGATCGACCCGAGATCGGCCCGAGATCGGCCCGAGATCGGCACGAGCGATCAACCCAACAATGCCCCAGAGCCCCCTCCGGGGGGACCCCCCCCCACCCCGAGTGTCCGTGTCCTTCGCGAGTCACCGATGGGGAGCGGGGGGGGGTGCGAGATGCACAGGGGTCGCCGAGCGCGGCGCAGGTTGGGGGACACCGCCACCGATGAGCGCGTTGAACTTTTCACTGGACAAAAAACGCGGCACAGCGGACGGTGCGGGGCGTGCCACAAACTTAGCGGCGAGGCGCGGGACCGTCTGTGGCGAGGTGGGTCGCGCGTCCCCCGATTTCCTCAACTCACGGTCCTTCCCCCGTAAAGAGGACAGTGTGCAGTCCAAGTAGCGCATCTTCGATGCATATTATCTCAAGACTCAAGATGCGCATATCATCTGTAGATGGGGGGGCCGCCGCCCCTGTGCCCTGAGCCCTGAGGCCTGACGCACTTTGGAACTTTGTCTTTGACGATGCCGTGCCGCGTGCGCGGGGCGCGTGGGGCTCTGCGTCTGCCTGTCCGGGTGACTGTGCTGGGAGTCGCGACCCGGTGGAGAAACCTTTCTGCTTAGCCCCTCCCGGCGCGTCCCTTTACGGCGCCATCCCCCGTGTCCCTCCGAAACTCTCTCAATACAGGGGCAGCGAGGGGTCGACGTCTTTCGCCCAGCGGACGACGCCGCCTTCGAGCGAGTACAAGCGCGCCGGCTCGAGGCCGAGCTCGACGAGCGACTCGCACGCGGCGGCCGAGCGAACCCCCGCCTGATGAATAGTTCATTGCTGTTGATCGGCTGGTAATTAAGGCGGCGGCCGAGCTAACCCCCGCCTTGCAGTGAGGCAAGCTTCTCCACACACCACACATACGGAGGGTGGTGTGGGGCTAGGGCGAGGCAGCCCTCGCGACTCCACGTCTAGACGACAGGAGCCCCACGGCGTTCAAAGCGCAAGGCCGAGTGTGTGTGTGTGTGTGTGTGTGCTCCTCGGCTGGGTCCATCAGCACGAGGCCTGCCCCGTCGGGCAGCCCCGCGAGCGCATGGGCGGCCGGCGCGAGCGGAGAACGGCGGGCCGAGTCCCGAGATGCGCTCGTTTGGCACGAAAAGACGAGGCGCCCAAGGGGGGGGGGGGGGGGGGGGGTCAAGTATCGTACCCTAGAAGTTACCCCCTCACACCTCACAGCTCATCTTCCTAGACTCCCGCAAGCCGAAGTTGGTCCAGTGTTTCCGGAGCGCTTTCAACCCACCGTCGCGCCTTTCCAAGAACCTCCGGGCGTAGCATTCAAGGTCCTAATAGTTTGCTGTGAGGCGGCTCGTCGGCTCGACACCCAGCGCGTGTGCTCTTTGCGCTTTGGGCGGCGCTTGCGCTTCTTCTGCTCCGCCCCGCAGGCTTCGCCGTTCCCTTGACCCCGGCAGATCGGGTTCGGGTCCCGCGGCACCGGCGCAAAGGGATCGCTCGGCCGCCATCTCCAGCGGTAGTCCACCTCGAGCTCCGACTCGCCTGCTCTCATTCGGAAGGGGAGCCAGATGTAGCACGCGCCCTCCAGGGCCGGGCCGGCGCTGTCCCTCGAGGGGCAAAGCATCCAGTTGTCGCCGAGGTACACGAAGTACGGCTCTCCGCGCGCCGTCGTCGCTTGGACCACGTAGGTTGGCTGCGAGTTGAACGAGGTCCGTGACCCGGTGGGGTTGCCGAGGTTGAGCCAGGTGGCGTTGTCAAGTGACTTGCCCACGGTCCTCCACAGGGTGACGGCGTTCGGCCACCTTCGTGCGGCAGAGGTAAGGTAAGGTAAGGTAAGCGTCTCCACACACACAAAGTGGTGGGGCAAGGGGGGGCGACCCTCGCATCTCCACGCCCGGACAGGGCAGGAGCCGGCAGAGGTCACGAGTCGGGGAATGATCCGACGTGTCATCAGCCGTGTCGAGGGGTCAATACGGACGGCATGGGCGTGTTGACGGGGCATGGCGTGTCATGCCCGCGCGGGACAGCGCACCAGCCGGTCGCCAGCGACGTGAAGAGGTAAAAGTAGCCGCTGTGCCGAAACATGGCCATCCCTTCGCAGCGGTTCTTCAGCGCGGGCCGGCCATGTTTGACGGTCCTCTCGAGGCACTGCGGGAGAGTGGCGATGATGCCCGCGGTGCCGAGGTAGTCCGGCGTCAGCCGAGAGATGGCGAGGAGCTTGTGGCTGCAGTCGCGGATGAGGTACGCCTGCCCGTCGGTCGGGTCTTGGAACAGGTTCAGGTCCAAGGAGCCCTGGCCGTCCGGGCGGAAGCCTGTGCGACGCGAGAGCGAGTTTCGGAGAAGGACGCCCGGAGGGGGGGGGGGGGGGGCTGGGAAGGGGGGAGCCGCGTGCCGCGCTCCCAGACGTACGGCCCCTCTGGCCGGTCCGCCGTCGCGACGCCCACGCTACGGAGCTGGTAGCCCATCAGCTTGGCGCACGGCGCGCCCGCCTTGTCGCAGAGCGACTGCGCGTTCTGGTAGTACGTGCCGTCGTGCCGCTCCACGGTCCCGCGGGGCAGGTCGAGGTGGAACCACATGACGAACTTGCGCGTCTGCCGGTTATACAGCACCTTTGGACGCTGCACCACCTGCCGGGAGGGCGTCCGGCCGCCTCGTCGTGTCTGTCACTCTGTCTGTCAGCCGTCCGCTCGTGGGCGTCGGTGGCGAGGACGGCGCGTGCGAGAGCAGTGGAGACGTGCACCTCGGCTGGATCTCGGGGCTGGTCACGGGCGGGGAGCAGTGCAAGCTACGTGGACGTGGATCTCGGCTGGATCTCGGTTGGGCG